GACCGCGCTGCGGGCTGATACAGACCGACAGAAAACGCTTTTTTTTTTTTTTTTCCTTCATTTTTGTGGGAGAGGAGGGGGTGTCGAATGAGGGTGACTGTAAACCTTCATGCGGCATTCGGTGGAGAAACGGGAAATAAGGGACTTATGTTCACTTCAGGAGGAAGCAGCTCCTGGCACGGAGGCTGAAATCGCCCCTTTGCTTTCCGTGTAACCCCTGAGACTGAAGCCTTCCCTGACACCAGACGCTTTCCCCTATTTTTCCTCCATTTATCATATTTTCAGAGCCTTTTAGGGGTACATCCCAGCTTCCCTGTTGGGATTTTGGGTGCGTTGCTGAAAGCGTCGCAGGTCGGGTTTGCAGCCCTCGGTTCTGAGCTGCCAGCAGGTTGGGGGCTGCTCTGCGTCAGCTGCCCTGTGGTTGCAGCTTGCTATGGGAGGCTCGCTTGTGGCTGTGCTAAGTGAAATCTGGGAGTTCATATAGGCATGTTTCCCCTTCTTACTAGCTTGCTGAGAGAAGGGACTTCTTCTATTTAGAGGCAGGTGCACAAATGGCTTTTTCAAGGCCTGACTGGTGGGTTATGTTTGCAGTCACAGAACTGTAGGGGTTGGGAGGGATTGGTGGAGGTCGTGAGTCCAACCCCCTGCTAAGCGAGCTCCCTACAGCAGGTTGCACAGGAAAGTGTGCAGATGGATCTTCAATATCTCCAGAGAAGGAGATTCCACCACCTCCACGGGCGGCCTGCTCCAGTGCTCCATCACTCTGACAGTAAAGAAGTTCTTCTGTTACATCCTGGAAACCAGCTGATATTTTGCTCCGTCAAATTTTAGCTATTATGTGGCTCCTGGTCTGCTAGAAAAAGTGCTGTATTCTCCTTTTTTAAAATTTTTTTTTACTTTTTTTTTTTTTTTGCGTGTGTGTGTCTGTCTTTCTTTTTCCCCACACTGAAACAACAGTGAAAAATAACGACATCAAATTAAAAAATCTGCCAGTGAAATCCCATGCTCCACCATGAAAGGTGGTGATGCAGGACGTGGAAGAAAAGGCATGCTTCTTGAATGAATGAGTCCCCACAACAACATACGTAAAATGTTGTATTTTCTCCATGGTTTTTGGCAACCGTTCTTAAATCTCTTCCTGGATGAGAGTGATCTTGACCTGGCTAAACTTTTCTCAGCACTGGGACGTAGCTTTTGTAAAGTTTGGGTGGTGAGGCACTGGAATGGGTTACCCAGAGAAGCTGTGGGTGCCCCATTCCTGGAGGCACTCAGGGTCATGTTGGGTGACCCTGGGATGGTGATTGGCAGCCCTGCCCATGGCAGGGGGTTGGAAACAGATGATCTTCAAGGTCCTCTCCAGCCTAAGCCATGCTGTGTTCTGGCATTCAAGGGCTGCAGCACAGTGAGTTAATAATTATCCTGCATCTTTGTGCTGACCCTTAGTTATGGCCTGCCTGCTTATGAAACACAACACAAAGGTTGACAAGCTTCTTATTCAGAGAGGGACCAGGAATAACACACTACTGCTATGCATTGGCATTTACTATGTACAGTTTCTCTGACATCAGAAGGATAAACTTAACAACAAAAGAAGAAAAAGTCCAAAAACCTGCATGGATGCAGTGTTTGTGCCAGAATGCAGCAAAATCTCAGCCTCAAAATTCCTCTTTAACCTGCATGTAGATCTGTAGAATTAATCTAGCAGGCCATGACCTACCGTAGATAAGGAATTCTCTCATGGAGCAGCATCTACTGGCTCAGCTCTGGTGGTAATGCTCAGCAAGGTGTGTAAAGCAGCATCACCTTATTTTTGCAGTGAGTGCTTGATAGCTAGGATTATTGCAATAGCTATGCTAAATCTTGGAATATCAAGTTTGTTCAAGCTTGGAAAACACCCTACAATGAATATGCCTGAAAACAGATGTCTTGTTCCTGGTGTTTTTACATTCTAGCTTTGGAATCATAGAATAATTTTGATTGGAAGAGACCTCTGTGTGTCACCTAGCCCAGCCTCCTGCTCAAAGCAAGGCTAACTTGAAAAGTAGATCATTTAGGTCAACTCAGAGGGTTGGAGATTTCTGGAGATTATCCAGTCCAGCTCCCCTGCTAAAGCAGGCACCCCAGAGGAGGCTGCAGAGGAAAATGTCCAGGTAGGCTTTGAATACCTCCAGTCAGGGAGAATGAGTTCCTGTTCCAAAGAACTCTTAAAAAAGCAATGAATGCTCTTCTTAGGTATGGATGTATCCCCCTGAACAGATGGGAATGAATTCTTCTGTCTCACCAGGAGGCTGCCTGCAAATTATCTCACGTAATGACTGCAGCTTTAAATAATGTTTTTCATTAACACTCCGTTTTCTGTGTTAAAGCATACTGAGACCATCAGCCAATTCCACAGTGCCCTGAAGAGCTGTCAGATAACTCAGACTAATAGCTCGGAAGGAAATGCTTTGTTTTTCTTTCAGCAGCCCCCTGGATGATCAGCCCTTGCTTACCTGACTTTTTGCTGGTGATGGAGCCTGCTTCATAATTTAATAACTGCAATATTGATCTAGACAGCTTAAAAAAAAAAAAATAATAAAACCCACCCTGTGTAATTATATTAACTGCTGAGCCTTGAGGGGTCTTGTGCGTAACGTGCAATTAAATACTACCTAATTAAGAATTTCCCTGATGCTGTGATCGTCTCTTGGGTGAATGCTATTTGCATGTCTCCATTCTTATCCAAGAACATCTTGTATTCTCCTGATTAGCAGTTTCTCCTGGTCTCTGCGGTGCAATCTGGGAGGAGGGGAAGCTGCGGGTGGTGCCGAAGCATTTTGTAGGCTTTCATGAGCAATTAAAAAAAAAAAATGATTATAAAAACCTGTTCGAGCAGCGTTTGAAGTTCAGACGGTCCATGCTGAATGCTCAGCAGATGTGATAGGGTGCTACAGTGGTACAGAGCTTTATATTATGATAAGATAGCTATGTTGTGATATCTTGGCTGGACAGTCCAAGGCATCACTCCTTCTTGTTTCACTCATGTCACAGCTTCATGGGTCATTAACTTTCTTGAAGCAAGGAGTTCTGCGTGAAGTTGGACATTTTGAGTCAATAAATGTAGTGTGGCAAGATTGGGTTTTTAGGTTCCTAGAAAATGGCTTCAGATCTGTTAATGCTGGACTGAGGCAGGCTGCTGCTCTGAGCAGGTTGGAAAGGGGTGAAGGGGAATTCACTGAGGAGTACAACAAAAATGCTGGGAGCTGCAGTTGTGACTGTTCATGGTGGTGGTGGGACACCAGATTGGTCGTGTATAAGCTGTGAATCAAATTGTCTGGCTTGCAGTACAAACTCTTCTAGAGTTCCAAAATCAATAACACATTTAGAAGAGGCTGAAGTGTTCTCTGAATCAACTGTCAACAGTGATGATGACAGTAATGAATGACTATAGTGGAGCACCACAGGAAATACTCAGCAACAGAAGCAGAGAAAAATGGTTTTGTCTTTGCTGGCCCAGTTGCTAGGGCAGTTTTTTGCACTGGTTCCAGGGCACTCTCCCACTCTGTCTCATGGAGATGAGGTGGTGTAATTTTCTGTCGTTTCTCCCACAGCTTTCCCAATTGCTGATCTGTCTTCCTCTCTGTTCTTCCATAGGCCATCATTCTGGTGCACTGGCTGCTCACAGTGTGGTGAGTGATTGGTAACTGACCTGGCTTGAGAAGAGGATATTCCTTCAAACTAGCAATGGGATGTTCTTGGGGAATCAGCACTTCCTGTTCATGCCTGTGTGCAAGGAGCTCCTAAGTCCCAGTGGTTGTATGGGAACAGGGATAAATGCAAACACTGCTGCGGGCTCCTTGTGAACTTGGCTTGGATTGTTTGTCTTGTTTGGCAGGGGATGCATGAACAGCTCGTTTCCAGCCTCCTATGCTTGGGGTAATTTCAGTGTCCTTGCAGTGGGGATCTGGGCCATTGTGCAGCGAGATTCCCTTGATGCCATCGTGATGGTGAGTGTGAGGGCATTTGCCTCTACCAGGCTGCTCAGAGAGAGGGTGGAGGGCAGAAAAGCTCCTTTGATGCTCTTCAGCTGCTCCCAGTGCAGCAGTGAACAAGTCAAACTCTTTATTTATTTATTCTAGTCTCCCCAAGGGAGCCTGGCTTCTACTTAAGCACTATAAACTGTGGTGAGAAGCATTCACTATCCATTATTTTGCTTCTCAGGGGTAAGGCATACTTGATTCTCATTTTCTGCCTGCTGTTGTCACTTTTAATGCCAGAGGAGGACTCCAAGTATTTAATATGCTTGAGTTAGAGATGCCTTTTAAATCCCTTCTCTGATCATTAAAGAAATTGGCAAGCATAAATAAACAACCCTGGAAGATACTAGTAGAAGGCATCCAGATGTGAAGAAAATGCATGATGTATGAGATCATACACTTAGGATTATCTGTTTACCTGGGGGCCACGTCAGGGGTTAGCACTGTGTTATACAGAGGTGAAAGCACAATTGTGTGAACATTGATCTTCTAGCAGATAGAACCTAAAGCTGGCTGTTACTCCTGGTAGTTAATCCCTCATTCAGTTCATGTCCTGTTTTCTCTTTCCAGTTCCTGACCGGCCTGCTGCTCACGGTCCTCACAGACATCATTCACATCTCTGTCTACTACCCTTTGCATAGTTATCTCATTGATGTGAAGCGTTTCAGTATGGGCATGGCCATCTTCAGCCTCCTCCTGAAACCTGGATCCTGCTACTTTGTGTATCGAATGTACCGGGAGCGTGGAGGGGAATATATCTTCAACATAGGTAGGGTGCTTCCTCTACATCAGTGTGGGCCACGTCCTCTCATATTAGGGAAGGCTGCTGGAGAAGACTTTGTACCCTTTGGCCTCAACTGGATCCTGCCTCTCTTTTGAAGGAGGAGGATGGCCTCTCTCTTCCTCGTGTCTTTTCTCCCTTTTGTGCTCCTGCTGAGTCTTAGGCCTTAAATTTACATTCTTCCTCTCTTCCCTTGCAGGCCTGGAGTCCTCGTCTGACAGCCATTTTGCCTACAATGGTATTGATGTCATGCTGTCACTGTTAACTCAATTAACTCAGGTTTTTCCTCTCTTCCACTTCCTGCATTTTGTGCACTTCTTGGAAGCCTTTGGGTGTCCCTCTCACTTTGCCAACCTTTTCCTTCTATGGGAAAGTTAAGGCATCATCCCTTCTACCTGGATTATGCATGTGAGGGAAGGGTGGATTTCTAACTCCATGTTTCGTGCCCTAGCTAACTTGATTGTTGTGGACTGCTGTTTCCTTACCTGGGAAATGGGACTGATGTTTACCTTGTGCTCCTTTGCTTGGAGGTACTCATTTTTCCTCCTGGCTGCAGTTGCTAGGAATAATGTGGCAGCCTTGCCAGAGAGAGGTGTTAGGGTTGGGTATTCTGTCAGCAGCTTTGCCAAGCATTCCTGGGGCTGCTGCCAGAGATTGTTTGCTGTGTGGGAGTTCATCCTGGCAAAGCCAGCAGCCTAGAGCAGTTATCTTTTTCTTTCCTAAGGTTTTGTAGGACAAAGTGTGGTATAACTGGCACTACAGTGTTTGAAAGCTGCCACTTAAACTGCATTGGTGCTAGCAAAAAAGATGAGGCTTCTTGTGAAAAGAGGTGGATACTTGTAGAGAAGGAGAGGCTGTCAGAGGAAAACAGTGGCTTCAGGGTATTGTCTGCACCTTGTGGTAGAAGAATGTGGATGTTTTCCCATCAGCTGCTTGTGCAAATGCCAGGCAGATCTCTCTTAGCTGGCTCAGAAGGCCCATGTGCCATGTTTGTGCCAGTTTTTATTACCTGCTTATTGTACTTGTAACTAGGATTTGATATATGTATCCTATATAAAATTTAGGTGAGTATTCTTCCTTCTTACCATGCTGTTCCATCACAGGTGTGCTGTCAGAATCTCTTCCCTGGTACAAGTTGGAATACAGTCATGTAGTATTTTCGTATCCTCTCCTGAAATGTCTTTCTCACAGCATTTTCAGTACAAACCATGTGCTGTTGTTTTCTGTTGAATGTGGTTGACAAATTCTCTGTTTTCCTACTAACTGGTATTTTTCTTTAGAACTGAATTGTGATTTTCCAGGTCCTCTTGTCTTTCTTTTGAAACAAAAGCTCTCTTCATTACTGGGCAGCATCCTTGCTGCATAAAAACAAGTTTGTCGTAGCAATGTGGCATGCTCCTCAACTTTTGGTTTCTTCTAGGAGATTCAGTTTTTTGTGCTCATATTATTTTTTTTATCAAGCTTGTTCTCTTCTTGTTCAGGTCTCAACCGTGCAGGCCGGGACCGCAGTGCCTATGAGACAATTGATCAGCAGGAAGGCTCTCCACTGTGGCCTGACTCAAGCAAGACAGCTCAGCATCCATATTGAGGCCCTTGTCTGCAGCAGAATGGACACCTCCCTCCCTCAGTCCGGCCTTATGCTCCTCCCATGTCTGTTTTGATGAGACAAGACCTTCTACTGAGCAAAAAGGAGAGGATCTGATTTGACTTTTCTTTTTCCTTCCTGAAGATTAGGCAGAGGGGTTCTTGGAATGAGCCCAAAACATCTCAGATGACTTTAAGCACTGTGACTCTTTGTAATTCCAACACACTGCTTTCCTCTCTCCCCCTAAATCCCTCCTCTGTATGTGCAAGTGGATGTGCCTTCTGCATTCTTCCAAATCTTGTATTGTGCCTCCTCTCTATTGTAAGTAAGGGAGATGCACAAAATATTCCTGGGCAAGCTATCTTTAACAAGCTTATGGACTGCCCCTAAGACAACACAGTTTAGCCTGTCTTCTTGCTGATATGTTTCCAGGAAACATCTGGGAGTTCTTGAGGGCTGTTTTTGATAATGTTTTTAAATTAAGATTTATGACCATAATTCTCTGTGCTAGCTGTGGTGGTTTACGTGCAGCTGGGGTTGGTATAAAGTGCTCTTACTGGGCCAGGGAGCATTCATTGATGCTTTTATGAAAGTTGAATGTCCTTCAGGATACTTAAAATGGCTGGTAAATGTTGATTACATATGCTCTGTGCCTTGAAATGTCCTTTTGCCTTCAGCAGCCTGCCTTAATAGGACTTGAAGTGTTATACTTTTCTAAGAAAACTATAAAATGAATACAGTTCTTCTGTGTTAGAAAAGAAATTACACTGGTCACTCATGTTTTATTTGAAAATATTGCTATTTCTGAGGCTCTGGGACTGTAGTCTGGGAGAGTTATTATGGGACAAGGTCTACAAGGCTTCAATGGCTCTGTTGTGAGCTTTATGTAAACGTGTGGAAGGTTCTGCATGGAGATGTGTGGGCAGTGAAGGTAAGTGAGTAAAAGAAGGACTGGGGAAGGGCAGAGGTGGGTTTGTGTAGTTCTGCACTGCAGTGGTGAGCTCTGGAACGTGGCAAACTATAAATTTGGATCTTATGCACAATAAACCTGCCCTGCTGTGGCTTTCAGAGGGAAATTCTTAAAAATAAATGTTCAGCAGGTTTTGTTAGAAGAAAAGATTGTCAGCCTTGGCTGAAGGAAAATACAAGTGCTGGGAAGATCTGTGCTTTTCTGCAGCAAGTTCACTTTCAAAGTATACATCTGTTATTTGACAATTGCATTTCTCTGACAAGACCTGCTGCTGTGTTGACTCTTCAGTGACCAAAAGCCCTGTTAATTTTGCTGTAGCCCTCAGAAACGTACCATTTATATCCTTAAAAGCAAGCTTTTTTCTTTCAAGTTTGTCACTCTAAACATGAGCAGCTGCTTCATTCCCTCTACAGCATGAGCATTATGGTGGCCTGCTCTGTGCCTGGACCAATGCTTATGCTTGGATGAACACATGGTAGATGCTGTAGAGCTGCATTAATCTGATTTACTCTCCCACCATGAAGACTAGGTAGGCAGAGCTTGTTTTCTATAAAGTGACAGAGTGGACATATTCATTATTTTCCTGTTCTTCAGAACAGTACAGTGACAGTATGGATCCTTGAATAACATGTTTAAACACTCAGGAGATAGGCAGCTTTTTCTTCTCTAGACCTGTGGACCACAGACAAAATGGCTGTTTGATTGCAGCACTCCCTGAGTATTTGCATGAACGTATGGTTACATCTAAGGAAGCTCTTCCAAGCCATTCTCTGTTGGAAAACAAAACAAAGCACAACAAAATCTGTATCAGTGCCCATCTAGCTGTGTGCTTTCCTGTGGAGAGTTCAGCAGATGTGAGGGCAGCACAGAGGAGCAAAGCAAGGCAGGGGTGTCAATACGCTTGCTGTGAATCAAGGATGCCAACTCTGGGCAGTAAAGCAGAGACAGATGATGGTAAAAACTGTGTCCCTTTCCTGCCTTCTAAGGAAGAAAAACCAGTCGTTGCTGCCTCTCCCTCACGGTGTGGGGCTGAGGGCAGAGCACGGCCCATCGCGGGGAGCCATGTGCTCCACACAAAGCATCAATGGCAGCCGCTGGGCGAGGAGGAGAAAACGGCGTCCCCTCTCCATGGTGCTGAGTGGGCGCGTTGTGCAGCAACACCCGTGAGAGGTCGTGGCTGAGCTGCCCTGCCGTGCCAGACCCTACATCGTCTGGGCCGCCTTGAGAACGCTGTTCTAATTAGCCGTGGGCGAGAGCCGCTTTCCCGTGGCCATCTGCAGCCCTGGTGACAGGCGGCGTTGCTAATCGGAGGGGATAAGCTGCTTAGGGCAGCCCAGCTGGAGTGAGCTCACTGCTGGAGTTGGCAGTTGAGGGGGGACAAAGCAGCCGGTTTGCCCCTGCCTTCAGAGGAGCAGACAAAGAGGTGCTGATCTGCCCCTGAGGTTGTGGCGAGGCCGAGCGGTATGGCCAGCAGCTCTGCCAGTGAGTAAGTGTCAGCTGCTGGAGCAGTGGCCATCTTCTCTGTATTTTGGGGAGGAGTACTACAGCACGAGGCTCGAGGCCAAGCTCGAAGTAATGGTGATAGTTTGGTTTGGGGGGCAGAAGTCTTTTTTCTAAGGCATTCTGTGCTATTGGTTCTATGATTGGAAGCATGTGTGGTGTAGTATTGAACCAATTGCTGGTTCCAACTTGGAATATGAGCCTTGGGCAGCAGGGGTAGGAAGAATGGAGTTATCTGTGCAGTACTTGTGTTTGTCATTTATCTTCCTTGATATCATAACGCTCAAGTGGTGCTCACTTGAAAGAGCTTTATTTGCTTTCCATCAGTTGTGCTATTTACTTGGCTTGTAATAACAGAAGTACATTGATCAGCTTAATTTTTGTTTGCAGAATTGGATTTATTTGGGGTTTTAATGCATTAGCATCATGCTACACACGCGTTAAATGCTTACAGACATAAAAGCTCATATGGAATCCATTGGGTGTGGATTTTTGCAGTTTGCAAAATATGCTGTTTGCCTTGTGGCCTTAAAGGGAATTTTAAAAGGCACTTCATAAAATCTTATTGCCTTTTGAGTAGGATTAACTACTGCTTGTAAGTGGCTATAGTAAGGTCTGAATGGTAATTACAGAAAGGACAACAAACATGACTTTTAGTGGAGACTTTCTCTTTCAGGTTTCAATGAGACTGAAATTAGGAATGTCAGGTGAAAAACAACTCAAATAAGCGTGGCAATGTATTGAGAATCTGGTAACTGGCAGAAAGAACTGCTGAACTGAAAAACAACATAGCAGCCCAGTGCCAAAGTTCCAGATGTTCATGGAACAAACCAGAGCGGATAAGTATGATGGTTCCGTGTCCTTTGACAATTCCAAACCCTTTATAAAACTTCTATGCGATGTGTTTGGTTGGGTGTTCCTGGGATGCAAGGAGAGCTTCTGCAGAATGCCATTCTACATTTTGATGTTAGTTGGTGTAGTGGGAGGTACCCTAAAGAAGGCAGCAGTGCTTTGTCTGCTTGCTCTGTAAGTTGCCAACTTCTACTTGGCTTGAAAAGAAAACAAAAATGGTGCATTTGGTGAAATTTGAAAGGCAGAAACAGCAGTTCCCAAGGGTAGTTGCAACACTGCATGATGACCTACTGTCCATTTGGCAATTCCCACCTTGTGCTGGTTACTGAAGGAGTTTGTATGGCTGCTTGCAGCCAGGGATGTCCAAGGCTCACATACTTTGGAAACAATGCCATTTGAATGGAGACCTTCTGCTACTTGAGTGTATTTGAAAAAGATGGTGGGCGTTTATTTCCTAGGCCGTGCAGTCTTTCTTTTCATATGTTGGCTCTTGTTTTTCTTTTTAAAGATGATCTAGCTGCGTGTCTTTTTCACCCCATCATTTTCATTTTTTAGAAGTGAATTGGCAAAGAATGCTTGGAATGACAGTGATTGGCATTTGCATTTAAAATTTGAGGGAATGAAAGCACAGTCCCCTTGAATGGCACTTAGTGCTGTTATCCACAACTTAGATCTCACGCAGAACAGATCCTTATATGTGTAACCATCTGACTTAGTGGCTAGACTGCAAATTAGGTCTCCCATGTATGTTGTAATTCTTCCAAATTGGGGGACAGTGTAGATTCTCTGCATGTTTAAACACAGTTCCGTCCTGTAGTGTGGACAAGGAGAAACTGCCCTATGTAGCCTTGAGCCTTTGCAGGGCTGTACCACAATTTGTGAATAAACTGTGTGAACTTGATGCGCAGTTAAACAGTACCTTAAGTCCAGGCAGTATCATTGCTAGCAGCCTTGAAGAAATTGGGCGTGGAGGAGATGTGAATTTGATTTCTGATGAGTGAACAGGGGGTGATCACCATAATCCAGATGGAACTAGGTTGCTCTGACTTGTGTTCGTTTTAATGTCTTTCTCTTCCAGCAGTTTTGTTGCAGATTAAGTCTTTCCCTTCAGTCATTCCTGCTCTGCCGGTCATGATTGTCTGCTGATAGTAGGATGGATATAGTGTCCATATTACTTCCAGGATTAAGGCTGGTGGATTGGGGACAAAGAGACTTACAAGGAAAGTACCCAAAGCCTGTGGCAAACTAGGGAAGATGGGTCGAGAAATATGCATGCTCCTCTGTTTATATTTCTTCTTGTTTTTCTTCAGAGCAAAGAAACTTTCAGAAGGATGTGAATGTTGATCTGTATTTGGGTGCGAGAAGCTGAGCAGATATTTCTCATCGCTGGCTTGAGGCTGCTGCACTCAGTGTAACTGCCAAGCAGACAGCAGAACAGGGCTGGTTGTGTACCTCACCTCTGTCAGCTGGGCAGAGAGAGCCCAGGCTGTTACTGACTGACCTCTCCTGGCCTTTTCAGCTGTTCCGGGATACCACCAGTCAATTCTCCAGTTCCTGCTCCCAGCTGCAAAATAATCTCTAAGCTGCAGCAGCACAGCTTGAAGCACGTGGCTCACAGGACTCCCCATCTTGCTGTGTCCACACTCCCTGCTGCAAAACTCCCTCAGGGACACTCTCACCTTGAGGCTTAGAGCTTAGAAGGGGGAAGGAATGAGAATTTTGGACTTCCTCAGCAGCACAGTCAAAAAGCAAAGGCAGCTGGTAGCTGCTCTATGCCTACTGCTCATCATCACTGTTTAGAAGGAAGGAACAAGAACAGTGACTATCCAGTGGAAAAGCAGCAGTCACCTGCTGTGTCTTGTATGGATACTGGGAACCCTTCACTGGTCAGTACAACTTTGCCATTTCATGCTGTAGATGGCCCTCTTGGGCACAAATTAGTGTTGTGTACTTCTTCAAGGAGCTCAAGGGAAAATGTCAACGCTTGTAGTTCAGCCCTGACTTCAAGTGATCTCGGTCCATCTAATTTGGAGTTCCTTCAGCCTATTTTGCAGTCCTCACAGATTTCTGCTGCTTTGTACTGTTCAATCCAGAGGCTGAAGCAAGAAATTGCTTTCATGGGGAGCCGGGCCTCCCTTCCTCTGGAGCCCAAGTCTTTTCCAGTTGGTGGCAGTTTGTGCTTTGCTCCTGATGATGCAGCTCCTACTATCCTGAGCACAGGAGAACAGCAAGCTGGAATAAAAAGCAGTGCTGCTCAGGCAAGATTGAGATGGAGCATCCCATTTGCTAAAGGCACGGGCCTTGGTGCAGTGACGAGGGACTTTGGGCATGCTGAACCTATCTCTGTCTCTCACAGATGCAGATACATTGACTCGAGCATGTGGAGAACCAAACTTTCAGGTGGCATCCATCCAGATAGGCTGTCTGCTGGGCTGGGCTC